TTTCCATATAACTTGAAGAAATACTGGGTTTTTGGTAGATATTTACTACTGCCTTCCTGAAGAGCTGAGAATTGCTCCAACAGTGACTCTATTTCTCTTTTCATCCTTATAATATGTACTGCTGATATATCCATCAAACCACCCAACCATATCACTCAGTTTTAGGGAAGAAGCATTTTTTTCCCTCAGAAATTGTGATTCTCTACCAGATGACCCTCATTAGCATTTAAACAAGTTAGATTTCCCCACTGTATGGCAGGTAGCTACAAATGGCAGCATGCAGCAATTTTCAAGATTTATTACTCCTTTGAATAAGTCACTTGAATTCTTCCATGAATTCTAATCTTAAGTGGCAGAAAATCTTTTATGGCTGATTTGAAAAGTTGTTCCTATTAAAATCGGGACTGTGCAGATCTTGGCAATGGTGTCCGCTTTGATGAAAGCTTGCATGAAACCTCAAATTGCTTTGGGAAAAAAAGGTCGTTTCTTCACTTCAAAAAGCAAAACAGTTGCATTGCTTTACTTTTTCAGCCTTCATGGGCATTTGGAAGAGGTTTCTGCACATCATCTAATACTCCCAATTAGTTACCAGAAACCTTTCCCAGTTTTTGAAAGACTATGACAATGCAGATACATCACCTCTTTGCCATAATGAAAAGAACAGTGTGTGTTCAGGGATGCTACATTTTGTAAGGCAAGCCTGAGCCTCTTTATGCAGGACTAGTTAAAATGACACAGCTCTTGCCTTTTTAAAGTTAATATTGCTTTATATTGGTGCATCTTTGGTTTGTACATCAGGTTATTCTGAAAAGTCTATGTCATTCAAAACCCAGCAAGAAGGATAATCCTGTGTTTTAATGAAGACATTTTAACAATAATATTTGAATCTGTAGATACATTGAGCATAGCATGAATGGCAACTAAAATTATTTGATAGCAATATAACTATCATGCTAGAAATAGACTTTATGTGAATTATGCAATGAAGGAACTTCAAGCTCTTAGTGATGAAATTCATATCTGAAGTTCACTTAGGCAGTGCTTATATGATTAGAGTTAAATTCTTCTTCTAACGTTAATACAATTCTTGCTTTCTGGTGACTGCTTTCTGTATGAAGTATCAGCCATATAGGGCTGATGAGTTGTTATAATAAGATAAAATGGCTACTGCTTCATACAGTAGCAGGGCTGTCATCCAAAGGGCCCAAATGTATCAGGATAACAAAGGCACATCATGCGGAGTGATAGTCTTACCAGGGAACAAAAATGGCTGCCTTCACAGACTCCCCAGTTGATTCTTTAGATTCTGATAGTCTATGTCATCTTCATTCAAAAAAGCACCTCTTTCTCTGCCTTTTTCCTACTGAAGGTTTAATCTTGCATTCTCTCCTGAAGTCTTAAACAAAGAGGATGATTTTTCTACAACAATGATATCACTTAGAGCAGTGGTTCTCAACCTGTGGGTCGGGACTCCATTTGGGGTCGAACGACCATTTCACGGGGGTCGCCAAACAAGGCTGTCCGCCATTTTTTCCCCCTTTTCTTTGGCCACGCCCCTGGCACCCGGTGATGTATAAGTGGTTGGGGGGTCACCACAACATGGGGAACTATATTATGGGGTCGCGGCATTAGAAAGGTTGAGAACCACTGACTTAGAGATTACCAAAATAGACATGGCCCTTTAAGAACTACAGTTTGTATTAAGCAGGGAGGGGATGAGGAGAGGGGTCTATTGCAAAAACCTTCCCAAAGACGCAACTATCTGAGGAGCTTTGCTGGAATAGCATCTTCATTAGCTAAGAGTGTCATTCCTAATAACACTACTTTTAATTAACCTTAGACAAACCAGGATAACAGAATGATTCCCCACATTGCTAAGGGAATGCTTCCATGTCCTTGAATACTTCAAAGATCAGTTATTGTTAATATAATCAAAGCTTAAGCTTTCTTTCAACTTAAAACACTGATTAGATACCACTCCTATCAAATGATGAAGTCAATCTTTAGGGATGACTTTTGCTCCACAAAAATATAACAGGATTCAGATCAAATGCTTGCCAGTACTGTAAGCTCTGTGGATGCCTTTAAGTCATCATGGACTTCTGGTGACTGCCTGAAAAAATCCCTGCAGCTTTTTGGCAAATTTTTAGAAGTGGTTTATCACTGCTTTCTTCCCAGGACTGAAAGAGAGGGGATGGGAGAAGTCACTCAGTGGGATTGTGCTTAAGGGGGGACTAAAACTCATAGTCTCCTGGTTTTTAGTCTGATGCCTTAACACTACACCAAACTGGCTCTTTACTCATAGCTAGTCCCTAGTAATTAATCACTTTGAGCCACAATTGCTATATGCATGCTTTGTGTCATGCTGTATTATTCCACTGGAATCTTGGGAGCAAACTTTATTGACCTCTGATAGAAACTTGATATTGAATGAAAGCAAGTTAAGGGTTTGATCCAATATGACTTGCTTTAGTTATCTTTAGCTAGATTTTAAAAAATGTCGTCATTTTAGCCATTATCTGTCCATTGCAGAATGAAGACCTCTTCCCCGTGTTTCCAACCAAAATGGTCCTGAGCTTTCTTTTGCCAATACTGATGTTGTCAATCCATCTTGTTTTAGGTCTTTTTTGTGGACACTTTTTATCAAGTGGGATCTATTCTATGACTGCCTTGGTCCACCTGCCATCAGTTCTTACATTCTTTTTAAATGTATTTGGCATTTTTTCATGCATAGAAAAGTAATCATGGTGCTATCTTTATCATGGTTTCCTTTACTTTGAAGAATTACCTAATGTGGCAAAACTTGGAAAGTATTTTTTTGATAGATAATAATGCCAAAGGAAAACAAGACCTATAGGATGTTTTGTATAAGATGATTGAAATATACAGATGTCTAAAAGGAAAATCAGAAATATTGATACACCTATTTTCTGAGGGCCCAAGTAAAGGGGATTGGGAGAGAATTCTAACCCATTTTTCCCATTCTATGTTGCAGATTAACATTATGTTGTATTCTTAAATCCACAGTTTCCCCTCCTTTTCTTGAATCCTCTGGAACAGCTTTTAGGATTCATTGGCTCACAGAGCAAAATGGGACTTAACAACTTTATGTATTTAGAAACCAATTTAATTACCTGTTTCTAATGTGCAATCTGGCACATTCCTTCAAATTGGCTGGGAATTTCCATCATCTTGCAACATTAGACCCTGCAGAAACCTGCATAGTAAAGAAGAGGTCACACAATGAGAGTCTATTTGCTGATTAAAAATATATATATATCAGAGGCATATGAACCATCAGTTTTTTATGGGCAATAACATTTACTGTAAATCACTTTGATGCTTCTACATGAAGATTATCATTTGAGTAAAACAAAGCATCTGAGGTACTGGTCTGGATTTCTCATTCCATATTACCATTTTTAATATAACTGGCAAGTTGACTTGCCCAAGGACATTGGTCAGACCAAGATAGCTTTAAGTCACTTATCTGTCATTTGACGACTTCCAATTTCACCTGAACCGTTACAGCATGCAGTAAGTTTAGTTACTTTTTCTTCAATGAAAACCTTGCTTCCTTTTATGCATGGATGCTTCTGTGTTGAATAACAGCATCAGAGACTCCATAATTGCAGCCTGCTCCAGTCAAGAGCTGCAGGAGCAAAGCTGTATCAGTCCTGAAACCTTACTGATAAAAAATAAAAATAAAAAAATGCTGTTTTGTCTTCTCAAGTTGTCTCCTCCTCTTTTTTATTCATTTTAAAATGGGGCTTGTGATCTTTACCCTAACAGCCTGTGATCTGTGGCTTTTATGGTGGTACTCATATTCCGAGATTAATGTGCAGACTGGAACACCTTCAATTTATTCCCTCTGGATTCTGTTTCTTTTCCTCAAATTTTATCTCTTCTCCTTCCCATTTTGTGATATTTCTGAGCTCTCTGTAATCTAAATATTTTGTAAGGAGTCCATTTCCCCACATCAGAAACTATACCTTGTGCTCAACCCTTTAAACTAGAACAGGCTGTCAAGACAGATGCAGAAGGAGTTCACAAGAGGGGATGAGATTCACTGAATCTGGCTGATAAAATTCATATGGCAGTTCTAAGCACGTGACATTCTTCTTTAAGCTTTTTATCCTTACCTTCAGACTCCACATGCTGATCTTTCCCCCACCCTTTGGCCCCTATTTCACCACTTTTCATCAACTGAAGGCCTCCTGCTCTCTCAAAGTCAATCTCTTTACCTTTTCCTGTTTGTTATCTGATATTTTTAGAACTTTCACTCAACATCTGTGATGTTTCTTCCATACAGTCACTTCTTATAACAATATTTTCCCCTCAAATCTTTGATATATTCCCCTTGTTCCCATGCCAAGCTTTGAGTGAAAGCAATAGTTTATTCTTTCTCTCTGTACCCTTACTCCAATTCATTTTTTGTATGACATTAAATGGTAAATTCTTCAAAAGAAAACATGTCCCTTTCATATGGTTTTCCTATTCTGGGAACTGAAATCAGAAATATATTGGAGAAACCATTTATTTATTTGATGTCTATAGTTGCCCAACAAGTGACTCTGAGTGGCATGCATCGTGAATATTGCCTTTCAGAACTCAGAGTTACTGAGAATTAATGGATGCTGCAAAAATTCAAATCATTTTCCAACTAATTATTAACTCATGTTCTGTCATTACAAAATACAATTTATGTCTCCTTTTGAGACTTAAACATACATACACAACACTTTACTTGGGGAAAATGTGCTGTGCTGTGATTCAAGAGCTTGTATGCATCCAGTAAGTATATTGATTTTTTTTTCTTGCACATCCCTTTTTGTGCCAGAAATTACTTTGGAAATTATTTATGGGAGAAACTGCTGAGCAATTGAAAAGCCAGAATATTATTCTGGACCAAGCAAAACACACACATACACAAACACACACACACACACACACACACACACACACACACACACAGAGAGAGAGAGAGAGAGAGAGAGAGAGAGAGAGAGAGAGACTTTTATTTCTTATATTACATTTTGCCTTTTCTATGAAAGCTTCTTGATAGGTTAATAGGGTGGCTTGTATTTTCCAGTCATGTCTTGGAAGAAGACTAGAGTGGTAAGTACAAAATTATATGTGAAGGAGCTGTCAGAAATAAGTCTTCATTCTGGTTCATCCAAGCCGGGAATAAATCAGCAACATGGTAACTGCTTTGGGAAGGTTACAGTTTATTGAAGAAGCAGAAAGATGGTCCCTGCAAGAAAAAGCAGAGGAGAGGAAAGAGGAGTTGAGCACATGGGCAGTAGGTTTTTATACCCTCTCTAGCCTTGTTTGGAATAGTTTCCTGTTCCTGTGGCATGAACCTTGAGGCTGTTTCTGAGTGTTTTTCTAGGCCTTGATATCTGTGGTTTAATCCTATTATCATATCCTGCTTCCCAAGTGATGGGGCTAATGACTCCTAGAGTTTGGGTGGGGCATGCAGATTTTCTCTTTGTCTTCTTGAGTGCTCTGGCTTCAATTCTCTGATGGTTTTACATCTGCATTTGTATGGGGCTAGCTCTTGCTTGGGGCAGAGAGATAGATTTGGGGCCAGGTTTGGTTTTAAAAAGTCCTTTTGAGGAAAAATATATTTTTCTGCCCTTTTTAATATTTCCTTCTCTGGGCTAACTTCCCTCAGAGCTCAATGTAAATGCTTATTCTCGGTGTCTGATACTTTGGGCTAAGAAGGAATAGCCTTATCAAGACCATTCACTGAACTTTCAGAATATGGATATTAAGGTAGCTTTTCCACATTCCAATTTAATACTGCTTGGCCACCACAACATAGTGCCTTCAAGTGAATTATTTAAAGAGTCACAGGGAGCTCTTTAAATATCAGACCACTACCTGTGAAGTTAAAAACTGTCCACACAACTGGCAGCAGTTCTCCAGAGCTTCTTCAGATTTTTTAAAATTCTACCTAGAGATGATAAACATTGAATCCAGACTCTTTAGCAGGCAATTCATTCGCTATAGTTTACTAAATCTAACCAAAATCAGCAGGAGTTTCAAATGCAGCCCACAGCTTCGTAAAATAAACCAACCATGTTCTCCGAAAGGCTGGGGTTTGTAGTGTCTCTGTTTACAGGATCAGATTACAAGCAGTTCCTCCTTGCAAAAGCAGCTGCCCTGCCATCTGTCCTATTGTTTCTGAAAAAGAAAAGCCCATTTAGCTATAATGGCTAATAGCTATTGATTGGCCACTCTGCTGGGAATATATGTGGACCTGTTTTTTTTTTTAAGATAAATTGATTAGGATTTTAAATAAGAAAGATAGAAAGTAATAGAAAGTAATTTTTAGGAAAAAAAGAAAAGACGGAGGGAGAGAGAGAGAGAAAGGAAGGAAGGAAGGAAGGAAGGAAGGAAGGAAGGAAGGAAGGAAGGAAGGAAGGAAGGAACTTTTCATTTTCTTATACAGCAATTATATGTGTAAATTAATCTTATTCTATGGTTATAGCCTAAATTTCATTGTTTTTATATAATTATTTTTTTAATCATCAAAACCGTGGATCAAACATTTATTTATTTATTTTGTTTTAGCAAAAAAATCCATAACGAGTTTCCAGCCAACATTGAACTTAATGTTGCTTCTGTAATCAAAGATGTCATTTCAGCCATCTCAGCAAGTTCCATCATCTTCAGTAACCATTCCTCCATTTTGGGCAACATCAAGTCTTTCCACCTTTGTACATCATAATCATGCTGCAATTATTATATATAAAAACAAAGTTCCATGACTTGTTAACAACTATTTGTCCATTAACTCCACCCCCCCCCACATAAATGCCTCAGAATAAGTGTATGAAGTTGAGTCCATTTTTTTAAAGCTTTTTTACATGTCTGCCAAAATGGTAAAATGTACCTTCTTGTTGTGCACATTTCCAACATAAATTCAAAGTACCTTTATACATTCTATACATTTTTTTCTGGCTACATATACCAACAATATATCATTTTATAAAAATTCTCTTTAAGATTATAACATAATGTAAATCTCAGTTCTCTCATCCACATATTCTCCCATTCTCCTATTTGTTTTTAGAGTAACTAAACTTTAACCCATTTTATCATATAATCTTTCACTTGGTTCCTTGAGCCTGATACTTTCTCTATATCTAAAATAATCAATGCAGCTTGTTTTTCACTGTGATGTTCCAAACATTCTAGAACAGGGGTAGGCAACCCAAAATACTCAAAGAGCCACTTGGACCCGTTTCCCACTGAAAACAAAACACAGGGAGTAGCAAAACCCTTTGGATATCTAAAATGAAGATAAGACTGCATTTATCCACATATATATGGATATATGCAGTCTTATCTTCATTTTAGATGTCAAAAGGATCTCTCTCCCTCCCTCCCTCCCTCCCTCCCCCCCTCCCTCTTTCTGCCCTTGGTCTGCTAGTCTTCTTCCCTGTGTGTGTGTGTGTGTGTGTGTGTGTGTGTGTGAGAGAGAGAGAGAGAGAGAGAGAGAGGGGGGCACTTGTGCTTCCCCCTTTCTCTCTTTCCTCTCCCTCTTTCTTCTCTCCCTTTCTTTCCTCTCCCTCCCTTTCTCTTTCCTTTCTCCCTTTCTCTTTCCTCTTTCTATTTACTCTCTCCCCCTTTCTCTCCCTCTCCCTTTCTCTTTCCTTCCTCTCTCCCTTTCTTTCCTTTCTCCCTTTCTCTCCTCTTTCCTTTCCTCTTTCTCCCTCTTTCCTCTTTCCTTTCTTTCCTCTCTCTCCCTCTTTTTTTCCTTTCTCCCTTTCCCTTTCTATTTCTTTCCTCTCTCTCTCTCTCTCCCTCCCCTTCTTTCATCTCCCTTTCTCTTTTCTTTCTCCCTCTTTCCTTTCCTTTCTCTTTCCTCTCCCTTCTCTTTTCTTCCTCTTTCCTCTCTTTCTCCCTCTTTCTATTTCTTTCCTCTCTCCTCCTCTCCCTTTCTCTTTCTCCCTCTTTTCTCTTTCCTCTCCCCTCCCTTTCTTTCCTCTCCCTTTCTTTTCTTTCTTCTTTTCCTTTCTCCCTTTCTTTCCTGTCTCCCTCTTTCTATTTCTTTCCTCTCCCCCTCTCCCTCACCTTCTTTCATCTCCCTTTCTCTTTTCTTTCTCCCTTCCTTTCCTCTCCCCCTCCCCCTCTTTCTCTTTCCTTTCCCTTTCTCTTTTCTTCCTTTCTTTCCTCTTTCTCCCTCTTTCTATTTCTTTCCTCTCTCCCCCCTCTCCCTTTCTTTCATCTCCCTTTCTCTTTTCTCTCTCTCGCTTTCTTTCTTTCCTCTTTCCTTTCTTTCCTCTCTCCCCCTCCCTCTTTCTCTTTCCCCTCCCTTTCCTCTCCCTTCCTTTCTCTTTCCTCTCCCTCTCCCTTTCTTTCCTCTTTCTTCCTTTCTCTCCTCTTTCCTTTCTTTCCTTTCCTCTCTTTCTCCCTTTCCTCTTTCCTTTCTTTCCTCTCTCCCTCTCTCCCTTTCTCTCCTCTTTCCTTTCCTCCCTTTCTCCCTCTTTCTATTTCTTTCCTCTCTCTCCCCCTCTCCCTTTCTTTCATCTCTCTTTCTTTCTTTCTTTCTTTCTTTCTTTCTTTCTTTCTTTCTTTCTTTCTTCCTTCCTTCCTTCCTTCCTTCCTTCCTTCCTTTCTTTCTTTCCTTTCTCCCTTTCCTCTTTCTCTTTCCTCTCTCTCTCCCCTCTCCCTTCCTCTTTTCTTTCTCTCCCCCTCTCCCTTTCTTTCATCTCCCTTTCTCTTTCTTCCTCTTTCTCTTTCTTTCCTTTCTTTCCCCTCTCCCTCTCTCTTTCCTCTCCCTTTCTCTTTCTTCCTCTTTCCTCTTTCTCTTTCTTTCCTCCCTCTTTCCTCTCTCTCTCCCTCTCTTTTTCTCTTCACCTCCCCCCCTGACTAACAGAACCAGTTCACCTACCAAAACATTTAACTTCCTCCTTTAGAGATGGGCAATGTGGATTCACCACATTCTGACAAAGAGAAATGCCAGCACCTCTCATCAATTCTGCTGCAGGGACAGCAAACGCTGTCTGTTAGCAATATCTGGAGAGCTACAGTTCATCCGCACCCTCCTGAAAGGCTGTCCCATCTGTTGCAATGTCATGCTTTGAAAGGCCCCTCCCCCTCCTCCGCTTCAAGCCGACTGCACCCAGCAGGGAGCCTCAGTAGCCGGCGCGGAAGGGAGCAAGGGAGGAAAAGAGACAGACCATCTCCTCGCAGCTCACTTCCAATCCCAAAGTGGTGAATCCTGCTTGGGATTTGGGACTGAGAGGGGGGAAATCCTGGCTCCTAAGCTGCAGGGACTTCCAACCACAGAGCTTGCTTGGCTCTGTTCCCAGCCAGCGCCACGTGTGCGCAAAACAACAGCAACAAAATACTGCGATGGAGACTTACCCGCCTGCCTGGCTCCCGGACTTCGGTAGCAAACCATTTGAAGCAAGCAGCCTCGTCCGCAGAGAGAGAAGAGGAGAGAGTGAGGGCGGATGAGCTGAGTTTGTGGCAGGGATAACAAGGATTCGGGAGAAGCTAGCACGGAAGTTCCATGTCTTTTGACTTAGCTCGCCTTGTCCCCCACTGGTTCTTTGCCCGAACAAGTCACCCTCTCTCTTTCTCTCTCTTTCCTCTGCCCCCCCTCTCTCCAGATGAGGAGAGAGAGAGAGAGAAAGAAAGGCAGACGGCGCTAAAGGGGCAGGGAGGGGAGGGAGGCAGGAGGCGGCAAAAGTCGCTGAAAGGTGTCTAGGACCCCACGGACCAGCCCGGGGAGATGCATGGTGAGCTAGGCTGCCTAGGGAACGGCCTGGGGATGGCCCAGGAAGTGATGCCCCCCTGCTGCAGCCTGCCCAGCCCAGGGAGACATATGGCCGGGTGAGTGACCCAGGGACGGCACAGGAAGCAATGTCCCCCTGCCACCCAGCCCGGCCTAGGGAGACGCGTACCGACTCAGCAGCCCGGGGATGGCCCAGAAAGCAATGCCCCTGCCGCCGCCCCAGCTAGGACTGCCACCTGGCCCGGGCAGACACGTGGTCGGCTCGGTGGCCCGGGGATGGCCCAGGAAGGAATGTCCCCAGCCCGGCACGGGGAGATGTGTGGCCGGCTTGGCGACCTGGGGACAGTCCAGGGAGCGATGCCCCCACCGCCGCCCCCCCCAGCCAGGACTGCTGCTCAGCCCGGACCAAGGAGATGCGTGGCCAGCTCAGCTGCCCAAGGACGGCCCAGGAAGCAATGCTCTCCTGCCACCGCCCCAGCCTGGACTGCTGCCCGGCCCGGCCTGGAAAGACGCATAGCCGGCTCAGTGGCCAGGGGACAGCCCAGGGAGAGATGCCGCCGCCGCCTCAGCCGGGACTTCCGCCTGGCACAGGCAGACACGTGACCAGCTCGACGGCCCAGGAAGTGATGTTCCTGCTGCCCCAGCCAGGACTGAAGCCTGGGGGGGGGGCAGCAGGATGAAGAAGGGGGGAGGGAAGGGGGGAGGAGGAGGCTCCGGAGCCGCAGGAGATGGCTCAAAGAGCCGCATGCGGCTCCGGAGCTGCGGGTTGCCGACCCGTGTTCTAGAATATCCATCACAGTTGTGACATTGTCTTTTAACTGTCTTTTAGGTAAGAGCCTATGTTGAACTTCATGAACAAATCCTTGCAAAATTATTTTTAGTCTATTGACTATGATCACTGTGAACAACTTATTATCATTATTAAATAATTATATTGGTCAATAATTTACTGGTAAAATGAAATATTGTCCCTCTTTAGGCATTAGTAGTATATTGATCTCTTTCCAGGTTTCTGGCGTCTTTCCTCCATGTAAAACAGAATTCATCATATTTTGCAGAGATTGTAAAAGTTCATCCTCAAAACATTTATAATAAGAACTTAATAATCCATCTGATCCTGATACTTTTCTTGCTTTAGTTTTTTTAATAGCTTTGGAAACTTCCCTAATTTTTATGGGTCCATTCATAACCTGTTTTTGTTTCTCTGTAATACTTGGTAGATTTTTTTTAATATTCATAGATTTTCTCCAAAGAGATATCATGTCCTTTATACAGATTAGAATAGTACTGATAAAATGTCTTTTGGGTAGCTACATTACCTGTTAATACTGTGTCTCCATCTCGAAGTCCTTAAGCATTTTCTTTTCTTTTTCCTTTCTTATTTTATATGCTAGCCATTTTCCTGGGGTATTTGCAAATTCATTTTTTTTTCTTTCCATAGTTAATTTTTATTTCCATTTCTTTTACTGTTAGCATTAACAGCGGTTGCCATAAGAGTTTAATCTGATAAGAAATATTAATTTTCTCTGATAATTTTTTAAAATTTCTCCACTTCTTTTTATCTCATCCCAAATAGTCTGTGTTTTCTCTAATGCTCTCCCCCCCCCCACAACCCACAACAGGAATTCCATACTTCTATTATTTTCTTCCTTTTGTTTATCAGAACATGTCAGTCAATTTCACTGTGTAGTCCTGAGTTCTACTGGTATAACAATGACAGATGGTTCTGTCATCTGCTTTGAATATTATTAGCTGCCTTTAATAGTTGAAAACCTGGCTCTGCTATGAATGAATGAGTGAGCAAATACTATTATTTGTGTTCTTAGCAGATCCTAGATTTCCCTCAACAAATTTCAGAATGATTCTTGAAGCCCATAAAAACATTTTGTGCCAATTGAAACCCCACCTAATCCAAGGGTTTTCCAACTGTAAATTGCAATCCTCTGGATATTCACAATATTCACAAGTAACCTGGGGTTATGAGTGTCACAAAACTATCTGCCAATTACAGCACTTTTGTTTATTTTTTATTCCATAGTTATTTAATTATTTAGTTTTACTTGTGAGGGGTCATGGAATTGCAAAGTTTGAGAACCCTTGGCCTTAATGTCTTTATGAACATTTACTTACAAGAGCTGCCTAATTATTTGGTTATGGGATCTCCCGGTCAAAACAATAATGCTTATTATACTACAATGCTGGTTCTGATCAGATCTCCTGATCTAAATTAAATTCAGTCATCAATATATGTAGCTCAGGATTGAATCGTGTAGTCCTTGATGCTCTCTGAGCTTGATTGTTTGCTTGCAGATATTTCATTACCTGACTAGATAACATCAACAATGCTAATGAGTGTGGTGTTTGCTTCCTGTTTATATACAATAACTTGGCCTGCCTGTGTTGATAGAGGTGTGGTATTGTTTTCTGTTTGACTGTTCAAAATGCCAGGGTAATCCTGGACACTTGTCATCAGCCATCAATACACACATATTTTTAATAAAAAACCTAAGAAGGAAATGCAAAACACCAGAACACAGCTTCTCCAGCAGTCGACATGCAGATAAGCCACAATTAATACCAAACAATCAGTCAAGAAGAAAACAATGCTCTAATTACTACCAAAGATAATCTGCCCTCCCAAGCTATTGTATATAAACAGGGAGCAAACTCCACACTCGCTAGCATTGATGTTACCGAGTCATATAATGAAATATCTGCAAGCAAATAACCAACTTCAGAGTGTTATGTATTGAATATATATATAAAGTTGTGTTAATCCCTGCTAAAGTGAAACTAACTTAACTCCAACTGCTTGTGAAGCTAAAATGAAACTAAGCTTTAGATGACCCTGACTGTTAACTCCAACTGTTTTGGAGGGAAATTGTGAACATTCATATTTGGGCAGGCATTTTCAAGTATTGTGATTGGTTAAGGCCCTGTGGGCTCAGACTATAAATTACAGGCAATTGCCTGCAGTTCTCTAGTTCTAGTTTGAGTCAATAAATGATGTTGGTCTGCTCCTTGCCTACTGAAACCCATTACACAATATAGAGAACACCAAAAACTTCACAATTCAATGTTGATCTTACATATATTCTCTTCTATTGAAAATTATTTTTGCCTTTTTCTCACTTCTGTTTTAGAGGGTTATTCTGTTTCATTATGCTGTATTCCATTCTAACAATGCAATCCTATACTCTCTTAGCTAGGGGAGTAAGTCACATTGAAATCAGCAGGCTTAATTGTAAATAAAAAAGCAAAGGACTACATTGTACAATAATTTCTCAAACAAGTGATCAAGGTTAGCTGCAGTTTGCCACAATATCCAAGTGTTACCATTTTTTACACTCACTAATTTTCTCATGTGAATAAGCACCACAACAATTCTGAGAAAACTACTGTACATATAAATTCAGATTTTTTTAAAAAATATCTTGTCGCTTTTTATATTGCTTTCAACTACACAGAAAAAATAAAATCCCCCAAACATGTTAGTACATATAAAATAAAACAAAATATAAAAATCCTAATCAAACTTCCAAATTAACATGAGAGAAAAGAAAAAATAATGAGACAAGTTGAAAGATTTTCATGATCTAAACCATAAATAAATAATGAGAAAAGAGAGTGGGAAAAAATCCTAAACTGCATTACTAAAATACAAATGTAATGCTTACTTCTATATAAAAATTGATATAACACTATTTTTAAACAAGTTCAACCATATGCACATGGAATTGCATTTTCCAGGGCAAAATTAAATTGATATGCCTTTTGTACAACATCACATTCATTCCTTCACTTGGTAAAAGCATCATCCATAAAGAATCAGATTGCAGTCTTCTGTCTAATCGTACTATGATGACAACACTGCACATATGTGTATAGATTCTGAGTGGAAAAGGAGAAGACACAAGTAAACTGAAGGAATAAATATCTCCACTGAAAATAACGTGCACGCAACTCTGTACTCCAGAGAGAGATTCTGTAATATAATGAAAGAATGGGAGCCTTATCATTAGATAGAAAAAGATAACTATCTCAGACTGCTGAGCTCAGGTGTTAAGAAAAAGGATAGCAAATTGTTCACTTATTACTGTTATAAATTTATAGCCAGGGAAATGAGAAGCATTTGTGAGATTTTTCTGCTGCATGTAGAAAAATAACTAAATTCAGTCTCATAACTTGTGATCTGAAGGCTTGTACCCTTCAGTATTCACAGAATGGGAATGGGAGAGTTATCAGTTTAACTGTGTGTGTAGAACAGGATGCAGAAGGATAGTTGAAGAAGTTTATCATATGCCACTACTGCAACAAAACTCTCTACCTGATGTCCTGTTTCTGTGACATTGTGCATCGTTGCTTTTAATCTGTGTTTTTTTAAAATTATATTGACCTATGAATGGCTTTACTGAGTCTGTTGGACTAAAGACTATTATTTCATCCTTTCATCAGTTTTCAGGAGAGAGAAAAAAAAAATGGCAGCCTTCCTGGTGTCTCCTCCCTATTAAATGATAGGTGGAAGAAAATGAGATGAGGACTCTATCCTCCATGGCCAAACTGAGGTTGAATTTGGGAAATATCAAGTAAGGTTAAATGATAGGTGGAAGAAAATGAGATGGCGACCCTATCTTCACCCTACCCTATCCTCCATGGCCAAATGGAGGCAGAGTTTGGAAAATATCACATAAGGTTTATAAATACAGTTGGTCTAAGCCAGAAGCACCAACAGGAAGACGTTTGAATTGTGTTGTATAGTTGAAAAATAACTGCACATGAAACATAGAAAGAGAAAGGGAAAACGAGGAGAATTTCAACATTACCATACCCTAATATCTGCCTTGTGCTTGGGTCTTACCTTACATATTGAGGCAATAATTTTGAAAGCAATTCAGGCCCAGGCATTTTGCATTGGATTAGGTTATAATTTGATTTCTAGCCTTTTCCTGGGAGGCAGAGTAGAAATAACCAGAGTTAAATTAATTTCCGAGACAAGTAATGTAGCAAGGTGAGGGACTGAAATGTACAGTTGGTAGAATGGCACTAACAAGAAAACTTTGTGCCATACAAAAGGTGCTGGGCATACACCAGCATGCGATGAACATGGGGGGGGAGGGGGGAGGTCTTGAAAATTCCCACTGTTATGTATATTTCATAGGAATAGGCAATACACCTGTTGTTTCTTGTAGCATGCAGTGGTGTAGTTAAAAGGGGAAATTCTCTGTTATGATGCTAATTCCCTCTCTTTCCTCTATCTAGTAAAACAGGGCTTTTCAACCTTTTCATCGATTTTACCACTTTTAGGATATAGCAATATCCGAGTACGACCAGTCGCCTAGCAAGGTGTCAAAAACTTGATGACCCAAAAAAAGGGGGGGAGTGATAAAGTACAGGTAGTCCTCAACTTACAATAGTTCGCTTAGTGACTGTTCGAAGTTACAATGGCACTGAAAAAAGTGCCCCCCAAGCCACAGCCGAGCAAGACACCTGCCTGCCGCCTGGCGGCCCTCTTCCTCCTGTCCAAGGTTTTCATTGTTGTGAGCATTTTTG